ACCCCCCTCCACCCCCCATTTCTCAGGGTGGCATTGTCGAGAAGGGACGGTGCTGTGACCAACATCCACACCTCAAGGCCAGGCCATGGGGCAGGGCCAGAGGTGGGTCCTGTCATTGCTCCTGCCCCACAGGTGGCCCCAGCCTCATCCCACTTCCTTATGGGAAAATCTTCTTTCCACCCTGGTCGCCAGGGGCTGCCCTGCCCCACTTCACCCTGGCGCTTGGCCTCCCGTGAGTTCTGTGTCCTCCGCTCCAAGAAAGGCCTTCTCTCTCTCTCCTGTATCTTCAATAAACGGCATATGTTTCAGACATCCGGCTCGGCCTTTCATTCTGGGCTTCCCCAGCTCTCCCAGGCAGGAGGTGGGTCCCCCCAAGCACACCCTGAACCCTGAGGGAGAAGAGCGGGTGGGTGGGAGCTGGAGGAGGCCTCTCCGGAGCTCTCCCAGACTGGCAGGGGGACTGGACATGATGGATGAGAGAGCAATGTTCACAATCAGATTTTAGATTCATAGTGGACCCCTGGTGCCCCAGTGGTTAAAGCACCTGGCTGCTAACCCACAGCCAGAGGTGGAATCCCATGTGGTAAGCCGGCTTGCAGAAAGATGTCCAGCCTTAGAGAAACCTACCGGGCAGTTCCACTCTCTTCTACAGGGTGGCTAGGGGTCAGAATGGGCTCCTGGCAGTAGCGTTCAAGTGCACACAGATTCCACCACATTAGAAAAATGTGTGGATTAAGATGTTCCGGCTTTTCATCCATTCCCAATGGGTCTGAGGTCATCCAGCCGTTTCATCCATTCCCAATGGATCTGAGGTCATCCAGCCGTCCACGCCTGATCACAACCCCCTGGATTGCTGGTAGCCACGCATCTCATAAGCCAGGGTGAACATCCAAATGTTGGGGTAGCAGAAAAGCACTCTTCCTGAGGGTCATAGCATGGTGAGAGCAGGACCTTGAAATAGGAGTTCGAGGAGCTACAAGTAATGTTCTTGAGCTTCACAAATAATTTTAAATAACTCCCCCCAACCCTGGCAGTATCCAGCCTCTCCATTCCCCCCTCCCCACTGCCCCCCGCCCCCCACACACACTGAATCAAGGTAGGGACAGAGGTATTTGCTTAGCAAACAGGTTCTGGGGTTGGGGAGAGATTCCAGGAGGGCTTCTGAGCGTGCACATTGTCACTGCCACCATGAGGCTGTCTGTCCTCCAGCCCTTTGGGAACGCTTCATTTGGCCCCTCCTAGCGTGACTCGAGGAGGCACGGATAATCTGAGCGTGCCCAGGGCAAAGCAGAGAAGAGGCAACTCGACCAAAAGGATCCACACTCTTCCGAAGCCAGACATTCCTGAAAACACCGCAGGGCAAGGCAGCAAAGCATTGCTGCAAAACCATAGAAACTTTCATGAAACACTTGGATGAAGCTAATGCTTCCTGACATCGTGACGTATCCTCCATCTGAGTCTCCTCTACCTTTCTGAAGACAGCGGTTCCATCTCCCTAACCTGCCCTGGAGAATCCTCTTCTCTTTGATTTATACCACATCTAGAGGCAGTTTTGGCATCCCCGAGGGATCCAAAGAGTGTTCCTTTTCCATGAGGGTGCAAAAAGGAACTTCTTAAGGAACAAGATCAGGGCTGTAGGTGGAACTGAGAGGGTGAGGTTTCCCAAAGACACCCCCATAGGTCAGCCCTTGCTACCCTTGAAGAATGAACAGGCAGGTGCACTGTTTTCCTGATTTTGGGGGTGGGGTGGGGGCGGGGCCTGCGGTGCAACATTTTTGGCCTTTTTCTCACTAATACAGTTTTCCCTTTTCTTCCATCTTCTCCATGACAGGCTCCACCTGTGATCATCTTGTGAGAATCTACCAAGATGACCTCTTTGAGATCCCAAGATCCAGCGACCACAACCTTCTGTAGAGTATTGAAAAGCAAGGATGTGACTTTGAGGACTAAGGCGTGCCTGACCCAAGCCAGGGTATTTTCATTGGCCTCATGTGCATGTGAAAGTTGGACATTACATAAAGAAGATAGAAGGAGAATCCATGCACTTGCACTGCGGTGCGGGAGAAGCATATTGAAAGTACCATGGACTGCAAAAAGGACAAACTGATCTGTCTTGGAAGAAGTACGGCCAAAGTGCTCCTTAGAGGCCAGGATGATCAGGCTTTGTCTTACCTACTTTGGTCATGCTGTCGGGGGAGACCAGTCCCTGGAGAAGGACCTCATGCTTGGTACAGTGGAGGGGCAGAGGAACAAGAGCAAGGCTTTCAAGGAGATGGACTGACACAGTGGCTGCAACCCTGGGCTTAGGAACCGTTGTGAGGCTGGCGCAGGGCTGGGAAGTCTTCTATGCTGCGTGTTTGCTATGGGTAGGACCTGACTCCAACAGCAACAGCAACCCAATCTTCCCAGCTGACCTGGCGGCTGACTTTGCATTTAACTGGCCCAGAAGATCCTCTTGGAGGCGGCCGTTTGGATGGGACTTTATTCTTCGTAAGCACCCCAACGAGACTCAGATGAGGGATTGACTGAGAGAACTTGTCTACAGCCATCCGTTGGGTGCAGAGACACTGAGTGCTTTAAAACACACTAAAAACAAAACAGAGCAATGCATATACAACGCTATGCTTCTTGACGGATCCTCGTAATGAAGCACAAATGGCTTTTAAATGGTCCTGACTCCTTTCCTGGGGCAGAGACATTATGTTGGCTAATCCCACTGCCTGAGGCCACCTGTGGCTAAGCTTTGGGCTGCTGGAAACCCCAGCCACTCCAACGCAGGGAGAGCAGCCTTCTGCTCCAGTCAAGAGTTTCAGCCTTCGGAACCCACAGGGGCGGTTCTACCCCCAAGCTGCCTTTTTACACATACTGTTGCAAAATGAAGTACTGTAGTCTATTGTTGTCACATTAAGACTGTTACACATGCTACAGCATGCTTCAAGACAAAACGTCATTTATTTGCTATTAGAAATAAATATTTCACAATGTATATAATCACGTATTGTTTTTGTGATTCATCGCTATGCTTCAATGATGTTCCATTTGTAACAATGAACATACATCCTGCCTATCAGATATTTACATGACGACTCATAACAGTAGCAAAATGATAGTTATGAAGTAGCAACGAAAATTATTTTATGGTTGATGGGGGGGTTACCGCCATATAAGAAACGGAAAACAAGGGGTAGAGGCATTAGGAAGGCTGAGAAAGGTTAGCCTCCAGCCTTTTGATTCGTTGACTGTACTCACTGTCTGCGCCTCTTTTGCATCTTGGAAGCCCCTCAACATAGGGTAGCTGAAGACGATGGTGGGGGTGGGTCATGCGGGAATGCCAATGTGGAAGGTGGATAGCTAGCTTCCGAGTGGGCGCTCAGTAGATGCACGCCGAGTGGTGTGCAGAAGGCGAGGCCCCGTTTCCTTTCCCCCAGATGTTACCTCACAGGCACCCGATCATTCTGGATCATCACGATGATCCCCAATAGGACAGAGCAGAGCAGAATCTTACTCCGCATAGGGACCAGGACAGGGTAGAACTGCCCCTGGGGGTTTCTCAGACTGTAACTCTTTACAGGAGCTGAAGTCCCCCTCTGACCTTGCAGATCAAAGGCCGCTGCATAGTCACTAGGCCACCATGGCTCTTGCTTCATCTTTTCCCCTCCGAGTGCCTTGAACTGCAGACCTTGCCCTTAGCAGCCCAGCATGGAACCCACCACACCCCAGTTTGGAGATGCAAAATAGGAGGTGGGCAGAGATGTGTACATGCATGAATACCTTTTCTGACAAAGCATCCTCATTTGCCTAAAGAACTGATAAGGGTGTCAGATCAGCAGGGGAAGAGAGGACACACCAATTGGGGTTAAGAGAAACCCTTAGCAAAATAAACACAGCTGGAGATAGGCAGAAACAAACCTACAATTGCAACTTGGACAGCCAATGATCTGGCTGGAGGGGGAAATGCTTCCGGAGTTTGTCTAATCCAGGTCAGGAGAAGCCTGAGGATTGGCTGGCTGCAGGCTGCCCTCAGAGGACCTCTGGCCTCGTCCCTCACAAGGAAACTCACTGTCTGGCACCCACCCCTCCTAGGTGAATGGTGGACTATGGATGGAATGTGTCTGACGTCTTCAGAGCTATCAAGACATTGATAGATCTGCAAAGAAAACCTTTCTGCATCCTCCGTGGATCCACAGCACGCCAGCGGACCATGTCTTCCCCAGGCAGTGGCTTTAGTTGTAATGGAAGCTGGACGGAGAACGCTGTTGCTTAGCAGGCGGTTGCTTCACGGCCATCTAACGAGCACAACATGGATTGTGATTTGTTTGGCTTTTTATAAGCAGATTCATTCACCCTTCATAGTCCTGTGAGGCCAATAAGGCCAAAGACTCTGTTTTACAGATGAGTGAACAGAGGCACCGGCAGGTGAATGAATTTGTCCAGGACCAGGTAAGGAGTGGAGCCAAGATCCAAACTCTGCCGACTAAAACTTTTTTTTTTTTTAAACATTTTACTGCGGGCTCATACAACTCTTATCACAATCCATACATCCATCAATTGTGTCAAGCACATTTGTACGTTCGTTGCCCTCATCATTCTCAAAACATTTGCTCTCCACTTAAGCCCTTGGCATCAGCTCCTCATTTTCCCCCCTCTCTTCTTGCTTCCCTTCCCTCATGAACCCTTGATAATTTATAAATTATTATTATTTTGTCATACTTACACTGTTCAACATTTCCCTCCACCCACTTTTCTGTTGTCCACCCCCAGGGAGGAGGTTATATTTAGATCCTTGTAATCGGTTCCCCCTTACACCCTGCCCTCTCTCCACCCTCCCGGTATCGCCACTCTCACCACTGCTCCTGAAGGGATCATCCGTCCTTGAGTCCCTGTGTTTCCAGTTCCTATCTGTACCAGTGTACATCATCTGGCCTAGCCAGATTTGTAAAGTAGAATTGGGATCATGATAGTGGGTGGGGAGGAAGCATTTAGGAAGTAGAAGAAAGTTGTATGTTTCATCATTGCTACACTGCACCCTGACTGGCTCATCTCCTCCTCAGACCCTTCCATAAGGGGATGCTGCTGACTAAATTTTAATGCTCATGAAGCCAGAGAAGTTCTTTGAGTCAACCTGCTTGGGTGCCCTCTGGGACCCACCACTTAACAAACTGTGAGATCCTGGGCAGGGCACAGCAACCTTACCCCATCTCCTCTGTAAAATGAGGGGGTGAGGCTGAAAAGTGTAATTTGTCTAACTCCTGGCACATTCTAAGAGTTTCAAGCAGGGTTTTACACGAATGATGGCTAACATTTCAGGAATCTACCCATTCTGTAAATGGGTATTGTCAATGGCTTATTCTTACGTATGTCTAGCACTCTGGGTGGATGAGGTCAGACACAGCCTCTCCCACCCGTCTCTCTCTTGTTCTCCTATGGACTCAGACTTCCAACCTCTGCATAGCCACGAACTAGCCCTGTGGCCTTGAGTCTGTCCGGAGTCTCCTGCCCAGCTGCTCCCCTGACTTGGATGGAAGAGCCTTACTTAACATGCCCGGGGACTGGCCATGGGAATTTGCAGGGCAGCTCTGTGACCTTTGGAGCTCCCATTCGGCTTGACAAGGAGGGCGTATGCCTGCATATCAGATATTTACATGATGTGGCTCAACAGGTTATTAGAGTGAGGTCCCAGCTGATTTAGGGGCCCAGGAAGGAGCTGGAGGTGGAGATCCTCCAGCAGTCTGTAGAAGCCGTGGGCGCATGCAGGGTACCTACGAACATCTTGTACATAGGCTAAGTTCCCCAGACTCCCAGGGATTGGGAGCGTCAGCTCTAGCCCCTCCATCAATTTCCTCTGTGCCCTTGATCAAGCTGTTTGCTTCCTTTGCCTCTGTTGGCGTCAGCCTGGGTTGACGGTCTCGGTTGTATGTCCGGTTGCAGCCTCCGGTGTGGGAGGAGTAGTGAGCTGAAGGGTGTGATGGGGTGGTTAGGGGCTGCTCCCTTGAGCTTGATTCACAGCGAGCCTGTGTGTTGGAGCAGACCTGCCAGAGCGTGGTCTAGGCTGCAGTCTTTACAGATGCAGATTGTTGGGCAGTGAGCTGCTTGGTTGGTTCGAACTGCCAACCCAGTGGCTAGCAACCAAGTGCCCTGCAAGAGCTCCTTGACTAGGAGACTCATCATCCGCTGCTGTCCAGCCAGACCAGAGGATGCCAACTCATCGCGACCCTGTGGGGGCAGGTAGAGCTGCTCCTGTGAGTTTCCAAGACTGCACAGGTTGATGGGAGTCTCCCACAAAGCGGCTGGTGGTTTTGAACTTTGGGCCTTGCCGATTGCAGCCCAACGTGTAACCACTATGCCACTGGGGCTCCCGTGACTAGGAGACTAGGAACTTCTCTTTATTTGCAGGGGCGGCTTTCTCTGAAAGGAGCCCCAGTGGTGGAGTGGCTATACCTTTGGCTGTTAACTGCGAAGCCAGCAATTCGGGGAGAAGGGTGGGGCTTTCTATTCCCACAGAGTTTCCATCTCGGAAAGGCACAGGGGCAGTTCTCCTCTGTCCTATAGGGCCGAGCATGCGATGAGCCGGCGTCGAGAGCAGGGAGGTTTTTGCAGGTTTGCCTGGTTGTGTGTGATGTTACACCGGTGCTGGTAACTGGGAGGCCAGCCCTCTGAACAGACTAGCCGCTCCTGGGAAGAAAGAAGGGGATTTCAGCCCCCGTGAACAGTGACAGTCTGAGAAATCCAAGGGAGCGGTTCTCCTCTGTCCTCCGGGTTGCTCTGGGTCAGAATGGACTCCATGGTAGTGGGTGGGCTCTCTCTGGGCCTTGGCAGCAGTGTCCCCTATGCTGCCCACTTCAAGGTGCTAATACGCCCAGTTTGGGGATGCTGGGCCGGGGCGGGGAGGCACCTACATGCCTACACCAGCTCGCTCCTCTTTCTCACATGGGGGCTGATGAGTGAGAGTCTCTCTCTCTGCCAAGGGGCCCTGCCTCTGTCCCCACACCCGGCCCCCATCTCTCTGCTGTCCTGTCAGATCCACCTCCGGACGGACGCTGGGTCATGCAGGGTGAGGCGGGCGGGGGCAGCTTCTCTCCAACTCTACCTCCGGCTGCTGCCCGAGACCGTGATCAGTGGCTGATAGCTGTCCCAGCCTCACCCTCCTGGCGCTTCTGGGTTTCAGTATCTGGGAGACCGGCCCGGCAAGCTGGAGCCCACACCTGACTTCTCACTGTCCCCTCAGGGGAGCACCAGCTGCTGGTGGGGCAGGCAGGGGAAAGGAGGCAGGGGCTCCTCGCTCCTCGGGCACCCACCTCCCTGGCTCTGAGAACACCTGGCTGCCATCTTCGCCTGCGTATTCTTGACCCAGTCATTTTCTCTAAGACGCCCTTCTGCCATCTGTGGAATTGAGTCGGGTCTCTTGCACGGAAGGCGAGAGTTCTACTACGGAACCACCAAGCCCTTCCTTTCCTGGCCTTCTCGGTAGCACCCTCTTTAACTCTGCCAGACCTCTTCTCCCGGCTGGTTGCTTCTCCTTGCCTGTGGGCGGCTTCCTCACAAGAACTCACCCATCCACCAGCTCCGATTCCTGTCAGTTCCTGGCCTCTCCTGACTCTCCTGGTCTCTCTCGACGATAGCCGGAGTCCTGGCTTCCCTGGCTTCCCAAGAACTCCCTGAGGGCGTCCAGATCTGGCCTGGGGCTGTGCAGACCAATTTTTGCATGGAAAGTCCCTAGGAAAATGGAGCCCTCTACCAACACCTGTGTCATTGCCATTCCTAGTGAATCCTGACTCCTGGCGACCCCATGTGAGCAGCGTGGAACAGCCCTATAATGCTCCCACGGTACCCGGGGGAATGAGCTGGGCCGCTCACGGCAAGGGCCGCAATTCAAACTCACCAGCGGCCTGGAGAGAGCAAGGCAAGGCTGTAAGGGTTGCTCAGAGTCAGAATGGACTCGGTCCACGCCTGGGCTCGGGTAGAGCTTTTGGAAGCAGATGGACAGGCCTAACTTCTGAGAGACTTCTGGGTGGGCTGGACCCACCAGCTTTTCAGTCTAGCATTTACTCAGTACCCCACCCAAGGGCTCCCCCAGCACCTGTGAGGAGTTCGAGTTACCCTTGTTGAATATATGATAGATCGTTTTCTGCATGTTTGTCTTTTTCCCCTTTCCCCACATGCATCATCATATGGAATTCTTAAAACATGAACACCTCGATTCCTTTGAGTCTCCGAGGCTCAGGAAATAGGTGACTTATCCACCATGTGCCATCACGAGGCTGGTAAGGAGCAGGGCTGGAAACTGAAGCCAGCTCTTCTGACCACGGCTTCCAGGCTCATTCTCTTCTGCCCACAGTTTCCTGGAGATTGTCCACTACACAGTTAGGGCACAGAGAAAGCACAGGTTCATGAAAGAAGGCGTGGAGACTTGAAGCTGCCTTCAGACAGACCTCAGAGCCTCCCATCCTACCTAGCAGGCCTGCTCCTCACCTCTGCCCTGTCCCACACCCATTCTCATTCTTTCCCACCCCCAGCAGCTCTCTGCTCAGTGAACTATTGGCAGCTGTGATTTCAGCCGCAACTTTTTTTTTAAATAAGCAGGAGTTTATTTGCTCACAATTCAGGAGGATTGTTGTTCTTGTCAGTTCCCATTCAAGCAACTCTAAGTACAACGGATGGACACACCGCCTGGTCCGGCACCATCCTCACAATTGTTACGTCTGAGCCCATTGTTGCAGCCACTGTGTCCATCCAGCTGGTTGAAGGTCTTCCGCTCTCTTGCTACCCTCTCCCTGACCATTCGTCAGAAGGATCTAAGTCTGAATTAAGCATACTGCTTCTAGGAGTAAAGTTTTGGTCTTCTTTTAACAGCTGTGGGTCCCGTGTTTTCTTGGCAATAATTCTCCTCTGGGTCTAGGAGGATCTCATCACAGAGACTCCAGGTCCAAAGGATGTGCGTCACTCCGGACTCGTCTAGATTTCTTTCCCGTTTTGGAGTTTATTTCTAAAGCAACAACAATGAAACTTTTTATTGTTAATCTGGTGAAGGTTACAGAAAAAATCAGTTTTCCATTCAATAATCCACGCACATTTTGTTTCGTGTCATTGGTTGTTAATTCCCTGAATCAGCAGTTCTCAACCTGTGGGTCGCAACCCCTTTGGGGAGTCGAACAACCCTTTCACAGGGGTCGCCCGATTCACAATGGTAGAAAAATGAAAGTTATGAAGTAGCAACGAAAGTAATGTTATGGTTGGGGGGTCACCACCACACGAGGGACTGTATGAAAGGGTTGGGGCATGAGAAAGGTTGAGAACCACTGCCCTAAATGTAACATTATTCATCCCACTTCCTTCCAACGTCTTCCTTTGGAACTTTGGCCATGGATACATGCTGCCCTTTGGATCTCAAATGGTTGAGCTGAAGGAGTTCGTACCCCCCCGGCGCTGTTGTTCCCCAGATAGACCTGTTCATTGTTTGGCTGGAAATTGGGCCACAGAGGAGGGTTCACTTCAATTCCAGACTGGAGGGTTCATCCTTAACTTTTGAAAAAACAAAATCTTTCAAAAACACAAAGACAAAGGAAAGCTAAAATACTAGACAACAAAACAAAACAAAACCCTCTTGTAATCTCTAACAAGAGGGTCAGTGATGCATTGGGCTGTTAACTGCAAGGTTGGCAGTTCGAAACCACCAGCTGCTCTGCTGGAGAAAAACAGGGCTTCCTCGTCCCATAAAGACTTACAGTCTTGTAAACTCACAGGGGCAGGTCTACCCTGTCCTATAGGGTCGCGACGAGTCTGCATCGGCTCGGTGGCAGTGACTTTGAATCTCTAATCAGTAATTTCACTTTCTATGCTACTTTTTAAGCCTACCTTTTCTGCATTCTCAATTCGTTCCTTGTCCTTTTTCGGTATTCCCAATTCTTCTGAGCTCGTAGCTCAGATGTCATTTTGCAGTCTGCTTCATGCCTTTAGTATTTGGTCATAAGCCATTTTTTTCTGAGGCTGGACATTTAGTGATTTTATTTTGTTATGGTTGATGGTGCAAGTCACCTGGTTTTTGAGTCTAGAGGGCTGTGTTAGACAGGGTTCTCCGGAGAGATGAAACCAAATTGCTGATAATTTAATATATTTATTTATAAAGATAATTAGATATAGAACAAAAAATGAACTGTTAAATCATATACAGATAAATATATAATACAAGAAATGAACAGTTTAATTATAAAGCACTACAAATGGCTCAGTGCAACTCACTCCTGTGAGAGAGAGTTGTGAGACACTAGCAGTCCTTCAAGTCTTTG